GGTTCTCTGTGCCATACCAGCAAGAAGAAGGAATTGGTAGTATGGCACAGAGAACCCAACATAATAAGGTACCTTGTGTTCTCTGTGCCATCCCTCATTTTCATCTAGGCTTTGTGTTGTCTGAGGTCTGTATTCCCTAATATATCTATATGCTGATACAGTAGATTTTGTTCCTCCTGCTATCAGTCAGTTTAACACTCATGTTCACATCCTTGTATGTCTAATCTCTACACAATGCCTTTAGGCTTAGTAGGTCCTTATCTTCTAAGACAAAGTCACTGTCTTCTGGTTGTGCATCTATGATGGCCACACCTGCAACATCCATCTCTGTTTCAATACCTGCACCCATTAGGTCTTATTTTCTCCCAATATACTTTTTCAAGAGATCTTGATCTTCCCCTTCACATTCACCTTGTATTCCATTCTGTTGAGTATTTCCTGTACTTCAAAAGGTCCTTTACATTGAGGGGTGAGTTTGTTTGTGGTCTGTGGGCAGCAGAACTAAGACCTTTTGTCCAACCTTAAAAATGTCAATCCTTGGCCTTCTTGTCATAAAAATTCTTCTGACTACCTCAAACTGCATACAAACTCTATCTAGCGAGTTGCAAGGTCTCCTCCAGTCGGTTTCTGAGGTCTAACACATACTGGTATGTGTTCCTTACTTCTGACTCTTCTTCTGCCTTTCCATAGCTCTTTCGATATTTGCATCGGATCTCGTACCGTTCTTCCATACAGTAACTCGAAGGGTGAAAATCCTGTACTTGCTTGTGGGACTTCTCGATAAGCCAGCAAGTACCTGTCCCAGTCATGTGGTCTCTCTTGGCACATCTTCTTTAGCATACTCTTTAAAACTCCACTGACTCTCTCGCAAAGTCCAGGAGGGCTTCTGCTACTTTCTCTGTCTCTATCTTCACCAGTGCTATTCCTTCAGGGTAACGTGTCACATAGCTGACTACTGTCAGAACATACCGGTTGCCCTTATCAGACACAGGCGCAAGTCCAAAGCTACTCTGCTGAATGGCTCTTCTATGAGAGGCATTTCCCCCAAGGGCACTTTGGCTACCTTCGCTCTAGGTATTGTCCTTTGGCAGATGTCACATGACCTGCAGAATCTACTCAAATCTCCGATGACTCCCAGCCAATGGAAGTTACTGGTGATTCTGTCTGCCATTTTCTTTGTTCCTAAGTGTCCTCCCACAATTGATTCATGAGCCAACTTCATCACTTAAGTCCAGTATTCTATTGGTACTATGATCTGTTTATCTTCCCAGTATAACTGCCTTGATAGATTCGGTACAGAACTCCCTTTCAGTCCTCTTTCTACAAGTATCTTTCCCCCTTTGTTTCGGGCTCGATTTTCTGCCAAGCATTGTCCTAAAGTTTCTGCAGCGAAGGGTCTTTCTTCTGTGCTTCCATTAGTTCCTGCCAACCTAAATTTAAGATATCACCTTTTGACACTTGCAGGGGCTTGATGTCTTGTTTGCTCTTCTTTTTTGAGCTCTGGTGGTGACAGCAGATATTTCATCAATCTTCTTTCTGTCTAGTTCCTCAAAGATTTTACTACCTGGTATGTTTTCTACAACCAAGTCATATATTGGTTCTTTGATACAAATGGCCTTAAGGTTTCCTAAATAATATGGAGTATCCACCTTTATTTTTACTGTTGGAAATTTTCTCACTGTCCCATCAATTAGCACACACACAGGTATACCTTGCCTGTCATCTGATCATTGGATACTAGACTGGTTCTCACTGCTGCACCACTGCACCCAGTCCTGTAGAGCCTTCACTTTCTTGTCCCCAACATAGCCTTCACATATTGGCATATTATGATTTGTTGGCATCTCTTGATATTTGTCACAAGCTCCCATCACTATTGGCACAGTTGATCCATTTGTTAATTTGAGCTGACCATTAGTCGTGTGCTGATCAATCAAGTTTTCTTGTATTAAATTTGACAAGTATTCTTGATTCTCTTTCTTCTGGCAGCAGCATCCATAGTGCCAGTCACTCTTTTCTTGTTTCTTACCAGCACTGTCTTTGTAAATGGCTCCAGCTGCTTTATGTTGAGGTTTCTGCTGGTAATGGACTTGCAGTCTTTTGCAATGTGCCCAATTTTATAACAAACATAACATCTCTTCTGTCTATTTACCTCCTGTCACCTTTGGTAAACTCCTGCTTCTGGTCAGACATTACTGGTTTCAAATTTAACGGGACATTCTTGTACTTGCCAGTTATACTACCTCCATGGGTATCCATATACTGTTCTGCCAGCTTGATCATCTTGTCTACATCTTTTGGTTCTCTCTCCTTTAGGAATAGTGACATGTCATTTGAACACGTGGTCATGAACTGTTCACGTACTAATAGGTCTACCAGTCCCTCAAAACTATTTTCACACATGTCCATGTCAATCCATCTGGTGAAATATCGCCAAAGACGTGCCACAAACTGAAATACAGTTTCTCCAGTGTTTTCTGATGAAAACCTTCATCAGTAATTTCAGTAAAGCTACTTTTAATTTGTCATGATCCATGGCATCTTCTGACATCATGCCTGCATATACTTGTAGGCCTTTTCCTGTGAGAAGTGGGCTGAGATAGACTGTCCAATCGCCTTTGTTCAAGTTCTGACTTTGAGCGAATTTTTCATATCTCTCCAGGAAAGTATCTATATCATCTTTAGGTTCATCAAATTTGGGAGCGTGGGTTGGCTAGCCCTGACTCCATTATCATTCTTGGGTCCTTCTTCTTTCAGTTGGGTGAGTTTTGCTATCTAAATTTGTATTCTCATTTTTTCTATTTTTAGTCTCTCCTCTCCCTCTTTTTTCTCAATCTGTCTCTTCTGTTGTCATTCATCTCTTTCCAGTTCTTGTTGTTGTTTAACAAACTCTCATAGTTCACTGTATTTTAACTCAAGTTGAGATCCTCTTTCTACCCATTTATCAAAATCTGTTGACATGGTTATATAGTGTAATTTTAATGTCTACAATATTTTCATTGTGTGTATATAGATAGGCCTACTTATTTCCGCTGTCGTTCACGTTTTCTTCTATCATCGTTTACCACTGTATAATCCTGGCTGTGGCTCACCAACTATCAGAATTTTAAAATATAATATTATATATATATATATATATATAAAACTTTCTTTTTTGCAAATTGTCAAATAGAAAGGCTTTTAGTTATATTGCTTAACAGTATAAATATATATTATGTTGCTGTTGGGCTTAGGATTGTTCTACAGCAGGTATCTGTGAGTTGTTAATGATAAATTCAACAATGAATAAACAGCACGCACTTTACTTGTTTTCAAAATAATATATATATATATATATATTCAGAAAAAGTTAATGTATGTACAATAAATCCTTCAACACTATAGATATTATGGACATATCATAAACACTATATATGTAGTTCTCTACTTCTTGTCAGATATCCACTTAGGCCTATTCAATTACTTTAGAATTTCAATTGACAAGCCAAACTATCTTCTCTGTTTCTATCGTACTAGTATTCTCTGTGATTCACTTACAATTGTGGCACAAGTTACCGTAATCGTTTGGTCTTCTTTCTTTTGAAGATCCTCTGTTCCTTTTTATCAATGTGCACTCAGGCTGATTCTATTACTTTAGAACCACAGTTTGATGAAATATAATTATTTTTCTTATCATCTTTTCTAACATTAGTTTCACTAGCATATTAAAAATTAGGCCTATCACTTCTACGGTAGTAAACTTCGTGCCAACTTTATTCTCTTTCACTAATATCTGTCTGCTGCTTCCCACTCATCTCATGCTATTTATATCTTTATTACCTAATCACCTGTCCTCCTATATTCTTGACGTCAATGAATTATAAACAAACCTTCGTACAATTGTCTGCTTTAACTCTTATTATAACAAAAACTAAACAATAATAAAACATTCACTCACAAAACTAAATTAATCAATATTATTTGAACGAAACAGTCTTTTATATCATGACAATGATGCTGTGTGTTATTATTTAAAATTTAAACTTCTGTCAGATATAAAAGTGAAGAGTAAGATTTAGTTGTATTAGTGGCTTTGGCCAATTTTTTCAGCAAATGGAAAGATGACCTCAGTGAACCAACTGACCTTTTATTCATTCTTATGTTCTAATAACTATCATATCCAAGACTGAACTAAAAACTAGATATACAGAACATGTATTCACAAACTGCTGTTTCTATATTCATATATACTAGCTAATTTCAGGACTGAAATCACAGTGAAAACATAATGAAGTAAGAAATTAATTCTAATAAACAAACACACATGTACAATAAACAGCACCTAATTTAAACTCTGAAGATAATTAATTTGCCTAACAGAAACTTCTCTCAGAGTATAGTAAGTTGAAACTTAGTGTTTGGTATTCCAATGAAGTACCCGTGTAACAATCACAATAACACTTTATACAAATCAAGATACACCTCGGGAGGGTGAAGACTTTTAGTAAGTGTTTGGTATTCCAGTGAAATAACTGTGTAACAATCACAATAACACTTTATACAACTCAAGATACACCTCGAGAGGGTGAAGACTTTTAGTAAGTGTTTGGTATTCCAGTGAAGTACCTGTGTAACAATCACAATAACACTTTATACAACTCAAGATACACCTCGAGAGGGTGAAGACTTTTAGTAAGTATTTAATATTCCAGTGAAGTACCTGTGTAACAATCACAATAACACTTTATACAACTCAAGATACACCTTGAGAGGGTGAAGACTTTTAGTAATTGTTTGGTATTCCAGTGAAGTACCTGTGTAACAATCACAATAACACTTTATACAAATCAAGATACACCTCAGAATGGTGAAGAATTTCAGTAAGTGTTTGGTATTCCAGTGAACTACCTGTGTAACAATCACAATAACACTTTATACAAATCAAGATACACCTCAGAATGGTGAAGAATTTCAGTAAGTGTTTGGTATTCCAGTGAACTACCTGTGTAACAATCACAATAACACTTTATACAAATCAAGATACACCTCAGAAGGGTGAAGAATTTTATTCCATTCTTTTGGGGTTTACAGTTGAAAATATCACCAACAGTGAGAGTATCCAACTGATGAAACAATGCATTCTGATCATTGTAATTAGCTACATAAGAAAGTATTCTTGAGGTCGGACATCTGGGAACTTTACACTCCCACAATGCAACATCTGCATAGCAACCGAGGTGAAGGGTCAAACAAATAGCTCGACAATGCAGAAATTTTGTTCATTGTGTACACTTGCCCACTGTCTAGACTCGTATTTGTAACAATAATTTGTGTTTGTGATGAACTTTTGTTGTTCTAAACCTGCAAGTATGGTGAAGAGTTGTTGAGGGTTTAATTTTTTTTAATGCAAGGTAATTGTAAATGTCTGGGTACTGTACACTGGGTCATTTTGTCAAGGACAATAATCAAGCCCAATTAATTGCACCTTTATTCCTTATCTCGCTAATGCTTCGTCCGACAACTTCTCCACATGTTGATAACACATTTCAATTGATAATTTGACTATCAAACAATAATAAATGAATGATAATTGAAGAATTTGCACAGCAGCTTCAGCAGTAACACATGTATATATGGTAAACATATATAACTTGCATACACCTAGCTGTACTCGCTTCGCTATTGTTTTACCCTTTGTCAATATGGCGATCACGTTACCAGGCAAAATCATATGACTGTGATGTCATGGTGACCTCAAGAATAATTTATTAACTATACTGACAACCAGGTTGATTTTTAAGTTTTGCTCTAGTCTAAGTACACAGATTACTCAAATTTAAAATTATTACTTCTTTCTTACATTTTTCTTATTATTAACTAATAATAACGTTAGATATTATTAGTAAGTCTTCTTAACATTACAATCTTCTATAGATTTATTGTATTAATAATTATATAATCTTTGTTACATAACTTAATTCTTAAATCTAATGTATTGAAATCGTCTATAATTATAACATTGACAGACATACATAAAATAGTGCAAAAATCACACGAAATGTCTTATTACGTCACTAGTATTATTATTATTAACAGTATAAGTACTATTACACTTACTTAATTTTTAGTTTTAACTTTTATGGGATTATCATCAATGTCACTGTGTTAGAAGAAGCACTGGGTGTGACTTTATCACCAGCTAGTTAATGAACCAGGTTTTACAAAACTGCCAGAAGCCGATATTCGTCGACTAACGTATCAGAGCATGAAATATTACGATATACCAATAACAAGTAACGTTACGTTAAGCTGAGGTAGTTGTAGTAACTAGTAATTGTAGTCTGTATTACAAGACTAGTTAGGCTTAGACTGACTGGTCTGCCAATAGATTTTGCGGAAGGTACTCTTTACAAATTACATTATCTTTAAGTTTATTACGTTGTATACTGCCACATGTATTAAACTTCTTTTAAGAAAATCATTACTTAACAATAAATCAAACAATTTACACTACACTGCCAATTATTACTGTAATCTGTATAAAATAACCAGACCCTGATTACGCTTTTACATGGTACGATTATAAACATACTCTCGTTGAAATTTTCCCATTTACGTCAACAGACGGAACTCCTCGGCAGAGACACGATGGTGCTGCAGGACTATCATTGTGAACACCAATTACATGTGTGTTTGTGTATACAAAAATAAATTTATAAATAAAAAATAGATGATATATTACACAACGTTTTCTAATTCAATATTTCTTTCTCAGTTTTAACTACTCCAGAAAGCCAATTTTATTTGTTATATGTGTTGTAATATATCCGAAAAAAAACTCATTTGAAAACATGCAACAACATTATTTGATAGATAGTTTAGGCAGAGTATTCATGATGATTATACTGGAAAGGACGGCAATATTAAAAAACACAATGTAGACGGAAGACTCTCGAAACGTCATCCTCTACATTGTGTTTTTTTTACTATAGGCAGTTGCCGTCCTTTCTACTACACTCACCACGTAGCAACATGTTTAATACAATACCAGTTATTAATATCAACTTCACTACAGGCTACGTATAAGAATTTTCATCTGATTTGTATCCACTTCTATCGTAGAAATTATCTTCAGTTTAAGCGTTTAAACTTTCGTCCTTAATCAAAAAGTTAATTGATTGTAGAACATAAATAAAATACAAATTTAAAGCGGCTAGAAATGAATCTTGACATTGTTTTAATCTTAGTTTTTAATCCAGAATTTTTTCCAAATTGTCGAGTTTGGTGGAACTTTAAGAGATGGGCGTGGCTTTGATGTTTAGGATTTTTACAAGTTTAGGAAACATTTTGAGCCTTATATGAAATGTGAGTAACTAAAAGTTGATTATTGAGTTTCTTAGAGTGATTTATTGTCATTTGTCATTTAGATGGTTCAAGTGCTGTAAATATTAAGTTTGTGTTGCGAGAAAGAAATAAAGATACGAAATTAACAAGTTAATTGGATTTCTGTTTAGTTGTCGTTTATTTGTGAACTTAGGCTTATTAATGGACTTTGGTTACGCCAACAGTTCAAGAATAAAATGCTGATTTTATTGTTACGTGGACTCATCTTTATATTATTCCCATTGCAGTGGTTTGTTTGTTTGTTTTTTTGAATTTCGCGCAAAGCTACACGAGGGCTATCTGCGCTAGCCGTCCCTAATTTAGCA